TTGCATAACTCTCCTGAGCGCACTAGCTAGCTAAGGGCTTCCCACAATTCTTGTTCTAAGAAATAATGACCCCTTTATTTAAGACAGACTTTCTCTAAGGAAGTCATTTGCAAATTATATGTAAATATTTTTCCTCTAAATAATGCAACAAGTATCACTAAGAATGGGGATACAGGATATCCATGCTAAAATATGTGTATTTTTATCACAATAAAAATTAAGATTTTTTTTTACTAGGCAAGTGAAAATGAAAGCTGATTTACCTGGAAAACAGCTTAGTTATTTTTAGATGAGACAGTCTGAGAAGGAATTGTATTGTCCTTTGCTCTTCCCTTTCAGGAAAGCGACATTTGAAATATTCCCCAAGATGATTAGTTTTCATTGTATTACACAGACATAAAATGCCCTTTTAAAAGAAAAAAGACCCAGCAAATAATTTATTTCTCTTACAAAGATGAAATTAATAGCAAATATTATGGCTGGGTCTTTTTGTTGGTATTCTACAAACACATTGAAACATAGTGTTAGATAGAAGTTTATTGTATAGATGTTATTCCAATACAATCGGAAACTACTTACATGGAAACAAATACACTGGTAGTTGATTATCCCAAAATCTGCAAGGTTAAAAAAGTCTTTGCCAATAAAACATAATAATTTTTAAGTTCATAATGAAAGGGAGGCCTATTTTCTCCCCCCAAAATTTTTTTTCTTTTGTTGGAGACTTAAACTTGGTCAAAGAGGAAGAGAAGAATAGGGACCAAAAAGTTCATGTTTTCTAAAATTATAATTTGAAATCATCATTTGTTTTATGCTATCGACTAACAGTTTTTGTCCTTCCCCCATCTTCTACATGTACGAATTTAAAGTTCATTGTAATAATGTTATGAAGTATACCTTTGGAAGTGATTAGGTCATGAGGGCTCTGTTTCATGAATGATAATGCAATGGAAATTTTTTTAAAAATCCAAAATCAACCAGTCGTCTGACACCATATGAGGACAAAATAAGATCGTGCAGCGCACTACGTAGCTCATCTGTTAGACTCACTCAGCCTTGACAGACTGCACCAGAGATAACCTGACCCAGCTCAGTCTGACCGCATTTACCTGTGCACATTGTACTTCCTAGCAGCAAGAGATGACCAACACTACTACTCTCTTACTTCAGGGACTTTCTGCCCAGCAATGACTGATATTACCCAATAAAATTCCCCATGCTTTTAAGGCTTTGTACTTCCTACTTGCAAACCTATAAAAACAAAGGCCAAAGTGACTCTGAGCTGATGCTTTGGGAATGATCTCCCATCAGCCAGCCAGCATAATAAAGTTGGTTACCTTCCTACTCCTTGGTGCTGTGCTTTTGCACTGAGCTCAGCTCCAGTTCTGCAACAGTACTGTGACAGGGCCACCCCTTTGGAGTTGTCCATGACAGGGTTACTTCTGAAGAGAAGTCCCACCTAAATGGTTAAAATGTTCAATCTGATATAATCTTCCTTTAGATTTGTGGAATCCAGAATACCAGCTGAACTGTTAATGCCCCTTATTAGGCTTATTCTCTGGATTAACTAACAGGAAGCATGTAAGTGTCTGTGAGATTTAAGTTTTAGAGAAGAAATATATTTGTCAAAAAGAACTACAGAGGGAGGCACTGTGGCACATGCTTGTAGTGTTAGCACTCTGGGAGTCTGAGACGGGAGGAGCACAAATTTGAGCTCATCCTGGGCAACTTAACAATTGAGCAATACTCTGCCTCAGAATCAAAAATGAATAAAGGGCTAGGTATGTGTGCAGACCCTGAGTTCAACCCTTAGTATTAAACAAACAAAAACCAACCAAACGGAAAAACAATCCAATATCGTCAGGAAGTAGAGTTACATTGCAAGGTTCTGAGAAGCAGGAAAAAGGACATGAATTCTTTAGAGGGTGAAGAGCCTGTTGAGCTCATATCCTTCTTCCCTGTACCTCCTTTTTCCCCTTATCAAACTCTTTCACCTTGAGTTCCTCAGTATGACAGCCTCACCATCCCCTTGAGGACTCAACAGCCCTTAAATAAACCTTATTTCTTCCTCCGCAATTCTCATCTCCTGCATGTTGGCCTCCTGCATATTATTCTACTATCAAGATTAATGTCCTAGTAAAAGAGGCCTACAGGAGTTTATAAAACACTTCTTGCTTTTCTGCCAGTGTGCCCCAAATTTCTTGAAGTTATCAGGCAAGAATTTTACATCATTACATTCCAAATATATTATCTTTCCACTAATTATCAAAAACTTAATACGTTATCACATCAATGAAAGTAAATAAGAAAACAATAAAACACAAATGGAGAAAAAGTCAGGTAACTCAGGAATGTGCTCCCTCCCCCTCCTTGTGTGTATGCTAGTGCATATCTGGGAGGGTAGGAAAGGGAGAGGGGCAGAGATGCAGAGATACAGGGACTGTGTATGAATGATCGTGACTATTAGCCAGATGGCCAACACACATCTGAAAATAAAACTTACATTGTCAAGGAAGCTTGAATTTGTTACCTGGATACTCACTACATAGCTGAAATGTAACACCAAAAACAAAAGGAAATGATATTCCAAGTTAAAAAGAAGGAAATGCTACCTTGTAGTTTCTGTAGAAATAGAAGCACTTACAGAACAGTCAGTTAAAAACAGATGACCTCATTACATTTATCAACCTTCCTACCATGTCCTCTAGTACTTTACCACTAACTCGTTTCAGCACTTGAAGATGATCTCCTATTTTGTGTCAGTAATGTTCTATTTATTCTCTGTCCCCTTGTTGCAATATAAACTCCTCATGAAAGGCCTCCTAGAATATTTAATCCTGGCTGGTGTATTTTCTTTCTTTGACAGTGAGTAGACAAATGGCAAGGTATCTGAAGAGACTGTTAAAATATAGAAGGTGGAGATTTTGTATACTCATAAAAGAGTGTTAGCAGGAAAGGGGAAAAAAGATTGGTTTAGATTTACAGGAATAGAGAAAAATCAAAACATAATGATACTTTGTCTTATGCACCCCACCTAACAAGAGACCACCTACACAAGGTGTTTCCCAACTACTAATCTGGCAGATGAGCAGAAAATCTCATTCTCTGGATCACAGGGACATTCCTCCCCAGTTAGCAATCAGATCCTACTAGGGGTACTGATCTTAGGGGATCCGAATAACGGAGCAGCCAGCTGAAGCATTTTCTTTCCAAGCTCATTTTCGGATTCCTCTTCCACACTCAGAAATATCTAGATATCTATGCACCAAGAGGGACCCTGCCAGAACAACTGCTCTGTAGAAAATCCCAAGAAATGCACCATTAACCACTCGTAGAATTAATAAGTGACTTCCACAAGCTGGCAGAATACAAGTTTAACAAGAAAAAATTAACAGCAGTTCTGTATGTTAACAATCAATATGTAGAAACTGAAGTCAACCATAAAGTATCATTTGCAATCACATCAAGGAAATATGTAACACTTAGATGTACACACAACAAAACATGTATGAGACGTACATAATGAAAATTACACAAATGCTAGTAAATCAAAGAAACTAGAAATAAACAGGATTGGAAGACTCAACATAGCAAAGGTGCAAATTCTTTCCAAATAATTCTTTAATTTCAATGTAAACTAGGTTTTTGTCCTAAATATAAATTTTCAGTCAGGAAAACAGCTAAATGTAGGCATGTGGGTTAATGGTAAATGTACATATACTTCATAAAGAACTGCCAAACTGTTTTCTAAAAGGCCTACACTCTTTCTCATTCCCAACAAAAATACATGAGCATACTCATGCTTTTTGCATCCTTACTAGAACTTGCTGTTTGGGGTATTTAACAATCACTCTAAGAGATTTGTTGAGGTACCAGGCTCGGTTTAATTTACTTTTCACTAATTGGTAAGTATGTTGAGTATCTTTCATATGCATATTTGCCATCTATGTATTCTATTTAACAATGTCTGTTAAAATACTCTCTTTTTTTACTTAGTTGGGGTTTTTTAGGTAGAATTCTAATAATTTTTGATAAAGATCAAATACAAATTAAAGAGCATTGAAAATATGAGAAAATAAGACTAGTAACAGCAATGGTCATATACATTGCAGCATTATAAGCTTGAGCTTTTTTTTTTTTTTTTGGTTTTTCTCTGGTACAGGGAATCGAACTCATGACCTTGCATTTGCCAGCAGCATTAGCTGCTGAGCTAAATCCCCAGCCCCCAAGCCTTGAGCTTTTTAAGGATTTTTACATGGCAGAAATTGAGAAAACACTACCATCTTTATTGTGTATTCCCAATACTATTTCAGAATATATTCTTTCAGCTCAAAAACTAGTATTTCAATGGCGAGTAAAAATGTATCTCCCCTTGTGCCTTTGCTTCATCACATTTCTTTATAACTTAATAGGTATCTTATAATCAGAGCTTAAGAAATTTCAATAATATTCATTTAATAATCCTATCAATAACAGGAAGTTTCCTTTATGCTAAGTAGTCTTAGTTACTTATGAACTAAGTGTTATAAAGTGGGCTTAAGCATCAGTTTAAAGATCTGCTGGATTTCAATGCAAGCACTTAGAACATACGTATATGGTGATAAAATTCACTTAGATTGCCTTTTCACAAAATGGGAATGACAGTAATATCTACTTATAGGATTGTTTGGCAGTTATGTAAAGTAATCTCATTAAATACAGTGATTAGGACACTGCACATCACTTTTATGTAGTTAATAAATAATTGCTATTATTATTTCTAATGCAACAAATGTTTTTCAAGTAGCAAGTTTATTCTATGTGTAGAAAGATCCACAAAGTACTTTTTTGTTTGCACTAAATTACAAAATCTTCCCTGAAGTATTTCCAAATGTTTACTATGAACTGAACAGGAAATAGTTTTCTAAACAAAATGATTTTGAAGAAAGTTGGTTTTCATTAAAATAAGCTTATTTGAGTGTTTCTAGTCTGTGATTCCATGTCTTTAGAAACATCTGTACCTGATATTTCTATTTCTTTTTCAGCAAGCTAGAAAAAGAAAAAGTAACAAAAATGTGAATTTACACTTATTTCCTAAGACTTCTAAATTAGTAGTTGTCATGAATTATCTTCTAACATTTAATCATATCTCTCCTTAATTTCTCTGTTTTTCAGAAGCACAAATCTTTATGGAACAATTTGAGTACCTATTTCCTATTTTATTTGTAACAGATACTTTTCCTACAATCTTTATTTTGGCACAAGAATAAGAGGCATAAAACTTCTTTCAGATTTAATCATGTAAACCAGATCTCTTAGAGAACATTCGAGTTGGACAGTTCTAAAAGAGAAACCTGTAAAGTTTAAAGGCACTTCCTCTATCTCATTGTATTTCCTCTTTGCTTTAACAGATGAGCTATTTAGCCATATTTTTAGTAGTTTGTTTAATTAAACTTTGCATCATGCTATAAATCAAGCTTGATAGGAGATTCTGGGCAAGAATATGCACAGAAAAGTGGTTAGTAAGAGCCAGGCTCAGGGTGTTACAGTTGAGAATAAGGGTTTCATAGGAATTTAGGCTAGAGGCCGTCTGTGTTACCTTCTGGCAGAAAATTTGTCTGCATTTTGCTAATTTTGTGAAACTTTGTATGATACTGAAATATAGGGCAACAGAATAATCTGGCAGGAGAAATTTCAAAACACCTGGACATTCAGACTGTGGCATGAGACTGCTGCAGCTTTTAGTCAGATCTACTTTTAAAATCAGGAGCAAAATGCCTCTTTGAAGATTTTTCCAGAAAGGAAGCCCTGAAACGTTGTAAGCTTACAGTTTTGACTGCTGAAAATATTAGCATTAAGAAAAAGCCAACTCTTTTGTTTGTTTGTTTTTGTTTTTGAGACAGGATCTCGCTATGCAGGTCAGGCTGACCTTGAGCTCACTTTATAGCCCAGGCTCTCAAACTCTCAAACTCTCAACGATCCTCCTGCCTCAGCCTCCCAAGTGCTGGGATTGCAGGTGTGCACCACCATACCCAGCTTTAGAAGAAACCAAGTTCTTTGTGGCAGGAAGGTGTTCACCTCATGAAAGTCAGGGAACCTAGAGCAGAGGGAGGAGCTGGAAAAGGAGGTATGCCTTTCCAAGTCACATAGTGACCGGCATCTTCCAAACTAAACCCACCTCCAACAGCAAATTAGCTCCAGTGCTACCATGATTGAACCTAGGCTGGCCTTGAACTCGCAAGGATCCTGCTGCTTCAGCCTGCTGAGTTCTGGCATTACAGGTATGTGCCACTAAGCCCTACATAAGAACTTTTAAAATGTCCACACTATTCTGCTTCCACCAACAGTGAATGAGAGTTCCTGTTATGCTACATTCTTATCAAAAACTTGTATTATAACTTTTTTCATGTTTGGATTTTAGTCATTCTTACCAATCCATAGTAATACCTCTTCTGTTTCAATCTGCAATTTCTGAATGGGAAATTATGTTGCGAATATTTTCCTGTGGTTTTCAATTGTACATTTTTGTACATGAAGGGCCGAGAGGTTTTGTCTATTTGAAAGCTGAAGTATTTGTTCTCTTACTGTTGAGTTTAAAGACAATTTCCGTAGTTGGATTCCACTTCTTTATCATTTACATTTTTTGTTTGTTTCTCCCAATATGTCACTACTCTTTTAATCCTAATAACATTGTCTTTTACAGAATAGATTTTTTTTTTATTTTAATTAAGGCCAGAGAATCCTCCTTTTTTCCTTTCATGGATTGTGCCTTTGTGACTGCATCTAAACCTCATGAGGATACTACCTAAACATTATCCTATATGTTTTCCTGGAAGTTTAATGGTTTTAGGTTTTATATTTAAGCTCATGCCCATTTTCAAGTTAAATTTAATTGAAATTATATTTTGGGACCAATTTAGTTGTATTTTGGGACCAATATTTCCAGCAACAGTTGTTTAAAAGTTGATTATTACACATGCCCCTCTCACAAAGATTGGTAGACTATTTAGGTCCATTTCAGCTTTCCACTGATCTATTTAATGGTTTCTGTTCTGTTCCAATACCATCCCATCTTGATTAATAAGACTTTATAATAAGATCTATAAAGAGATATTATGAATCCTATAGCACTGTTGCTCTGAAGAATTGTCTAGACTAGTATAGCTCTTTGAACGTCCCTTAAAGGTTTAGAAACATTTTATTATATCTAAAAAATTGCTTGCTGAATTTTTCATTGAGATTTTATTGTTTCCACAAGTTAAATTGGAGGAACTAACATTTTAACAATATTCAATTTCCCAATCCATAGATGTGGAATTGCTTTTGATTTAAACATTATTTGATTTATTTAATCAATGTCTGGTAGTTTTCCACACATCCATAATGTACATTATTTGTTGTGTTTAAGCCTAATTTTTAAGCTACTGGGAAAGTTTTAATTTTCCAAATATCAGGTAATTTTATATCATTTTTCTATTATTGATTTCTTGACTAATTCCTTAGTGGTCTGAACACATATTTATCCATATGTTTCCTTTTCTTCTTAGGATGTTAGGCTGTGTTCATGATCCAGAATGTGGTCTAGCTGTATAAGTGTCAGATATGAGCTTCAGCAGAACATGTATTCAGTTTCTTTGGATGGAATGTTCTAAAAATTTAAATTAAATCCAGTTGATTGCTGGTACTATGCAGGTCAACTATGCTCATTATGGTTTTTACTGATATTTTGTCTGCTGAATCTCTCACTTGAAAAAAACACCACTAAATTTTCTAAATATAGTACTGACCATGTCTTTCCTTGTGCATTTCCCCTTTTTTGCTTTGTTATCTTGACAATGTTGTTAGGTGCATGTATATTAAAGGCAGTAATATCTCCTAAGATAATTGATTTTTTTCTTTCTTTCTTTCTTTCTTTCTTTCTTTATTTATTTATTTTTTTTTTTTTTTGGTTTTTCTCCAGTACCGAGAACCGAACTTACGACCTTGTGCTTGCCAGGCAGGCGCTTTGCCGCTGAGCTAAATCCCCAGCCCGATTTTTTTCTTATTATACAGTGTCAGCCTTTATCCATGATAAATTTCTTCTTTCTGAAATCTGCTTTGTCCACACTGACAGTCTTATCATTTAATTGTGTGTTTAACTGGGGTATTACTGTTACAATTGGATTAATATCCTTCAAATTCATCCCTATTTTCTAGTTATTACACAGTTTTTAATTTTTTCTTCCTTGTTTTTGCCATTTCTAATTTAATTAAGCATTTCATGTGACTGCTTTTTTCTTTTCCCTTTCAACACATTGCTTATAATACTCTGATTTTTTTGAAGTTTCTCTTTATTATTTGCACTACATATTTATGACTAACTTCACCTGCAAATAATACTAAGATTATTTCATGTGCAGTACAGGCATCTTAGAATAGTACTTTTAGTTTGTCCTTTCTATCACTTAGATGTTGTTGTCATTCATTTATTTCACTTCTCCATGTCCTACATATACCAAATACCTTATTTTTTTTGTTTTTTTTATCTTATTGATATTCATTATAGGAAATTTTTACCTATACATGATATATCTTGATTTTTCTTTTTTCCTCCATTTTCTGCTCCCTTCAACCACTCTTCCCCTCCTTGTTTATGAAAGCTTTGTACCACACAGCTAAGTTTTACATAACTATAAGAAACATCTTCCTTTGTAGATCCAAGCCTCTGACCTATATAGCTTTCATTCTCTCCAAATAAATTGCAAAACTTCTTCTGGGGTAGATTTGCTGATAACAAAAATCTTTCTTTGGAGAAGTAGAAAGAGTTATGAGAAAGCCTTTTATTTAAATTTTCTTAATTTTTTTGTCTTTTTGAGACAAGGTCTCGCTATGCAGTTCAGGCTGACCTTGAGTTCACTTTGTAGCTCAGGCTGATCTCGAACTTGCAATGATCCTCTTGCCTCAGCCTCCAGGTGCTAGGATTACAGGCATGCGCCACCATACCTGGCAAGCCTTTATTTGTCTTTTTCATTTGAAGAATAATTTCCCTGGATATAACATTCTGAACTGGTGGATTTTTAAAAATCCTAACATTAAAAATATCCCCACTGTCTTCTTCCTTCCATAGTATCTGATAAGAAACCCACTGTAGGGCTGGGGATATAGGTCATCAGCTCAAGCACCTGCCTGGCAATTGCAAGGTACTGAGTTTGCTTCCTCGTACCAAAAAAACAAAACAAAACAAAACAAAAAAACCAACCAAAAACCAAAAAATAAAATAACACAAGAAACTCACTGTAATTTTTATTTATGTTCCTCTGTACAGAAAGTGTTTTCTACTCTAGTTTTGCTAAGATTTTTCTCTTTGATTTGATTTTCTTGTTGAAATTCAGTTATGTTATAAATTGCAAGCACTTTAAGTTTTAGAAAAAGAGCCAGAAGTCTGCATGACATTTTAGGATTTAAACTACTATTGATTAGATCTAGTTGTTGCCATCAAAACCATTAAAAAAAGACTTTTTGGGTTTTTTTTTAACATCATGTTTTTAATACTCATATTTTAGTCCTTTATTTGATTTGTGTATAAGATCTGATTTCATCTCTATACTTAGAAATATTAAAGAAATTTTGATACTTATCTTCCCTTTTTACCAAACTAAGTCTCCACTGGTTAAAAGAAATCATGGACAAATTTCATAGCTGGAAATTCAAGAAAGTAATTCCAAATGGGTCTTCAAACTAATTGTTACAGTATGTGGCTAAACAAGGTACACATTTAGTTTTCTTTTTGTTGCATATTTAAGATTATGCATAAGTTGATATCTTCTGAGTGAAAATTTCACTATAATCTTTAAACTCTAAAAGTATAAGGATAGCTTAGAAGATAATTTAAAAATTAATTCTACCTATGCATAAGTAAAGATACACTTAGCTTATTTCCATATAAGCCTCCTATATCAGTTAATAATATACCTTCTACATACTACCTGCTTAGTACAGATTTACTAATCTATGTAAAATACGTATGGATATATATTAGTTTAATTACTTTTGGAGAGGAAATACTGATGCATCAAAATGATATTAAATAACATTTTCAGGGGCTGGGGATTTAGCTCAGCGGCAAAAAGCGCCTGCCTGGCAAGTGCAAGGTCGTGAGTTC